ATTTTATTCAATTTTACTTTGAGGTTATGTGTAACGCTTTGAGGTTATGGAGGTTAGGCAGCGTGAATAATTTGAATTAAACCGTAGATAATTTAAATTGAATTGAACGTAATTGTTGTGATTTTGTAGTCACGTGTGTGTAAAAACATTCCAGGCACGCGCTCGTCCTGGCACAATCGGCATTGCCATGGAAATGCGATTCTTCCAAGCGGAACTTGTGGCGAATGTACAGAACACAAGCGAGTTACAAGACCAAAGAGTACGAAGGTCGCAAATTAGTGGGGTAATAAAAACAGATAGATAAGGAAAAGACTTCTCGAGACTTTTCATATTAACTTGCTACCGTTTTATATCACTCTAAATAATATTTGAACCATGTTTCGGATTTATTGTAAACTGTTTTGGTTTTGACGTGTATTGTTTGCTGGTTCGTATATATGTTGTAAATTGTATGTTCCCTCAATGCAGAAAGTGCTACTTGAAGTGACGAAATTTCTGTTCTTTAGCTTCTCAATGGAGAAAATGTACCGCGTAGTCGCCGACGTGGAGAATTACAAAGATTTTTTACCCTTTTGCACGAAATCTGAGATCACGATGAAAACCAAAGACTTCCTGAAGGCGAACTTGGTGATTGGATTTCCGCCCATAAACGAGAATTATACGTCGAAGGTGACCATGGCGTATCCGAGGATAGTTAAAGCTGAATGTAGGGACGGCAGATTGTTCGATCATTTGGACACCCTGTGGCTGTTTAGTCCCGGACTGAAAAACAATCCTGAAACATGCGTGATCGATTTCTCGTTGTCCTTCGAGTTCAGATCCGTCTTTTACTCTCATTTGTCAAATTTATTTTTCAATAAGATTGTGAGGCAAATGGAGAACGCCTTCCTTGAAGAAGCGACGAGAAGGTACGGCCAGCCGTGCTTAAAGGCGGTACGGCTGCAAAGATGACATGAGATACTTTTTAGAGATCATTGAATAATATTTATTTTTGTTGGCTTAATGAATTTAGTGTTACATAATTATTTTTAAAATAAATGTGTGTAAAGTTTAACAAGATTATGTAACGGAAATTGATGTGACGAGAGATGACGAACCAAGTAAATGCTTTTACCATGGAACATTTACTTAACAATAATTGTATGAAACAAAAACATTTTCTTTTGAAAATCTAGTCAAACTTCCATAATATGTATATACGAAAAATCAATGAATTATGAAGACTACATTTAATATAAAATGTGCAAAAATATGTTACGTGGAGCATAGATTATTTACCTGAAGTACTTCAATAAAAAATATAATTTACATATATATCAGGTTATTGATAAAAATATCAAATTTTTTATCAGTAATATTACGTAAATATAAGGAGAGTTCAAAATAATACTCTCATTAGCTCTTAAAGAAGAGAGAAGTAGAGGAATTATTGTCAAGTGGAAAAGTACACAAATTGTTAGCATAAAACAAATAACACATATAATTATGTACAATTATCGTGTATTATTTTTTTCAAGTATTGTGCTTTTTTTCTAAATAACTTAGTATCTTTATTTGTTGTAATTAAGATTACAAAAGTACTGTGCATTATCGATAATGTGAAAAACAAAATCTTCATAAAGGTCATGTATTTTATTTATCGAATCTTGTAAATTGCTGCAATAATTAAATTATTCGACATAAAAAAATGTTCTCGTAGAAGGCCACATTGTCACATCTTTCAAATTAGGCACGCGATTGGTCGATTTCTGTATCCTGTGCTTTCAAAGCCATCGTGCAAGTCCGTTTGAAGAGACCCTAATGCTAAGACTCCATAGACGCGGAAACGCCGTGCGGTAGAGTGCGTTGACCAATCAGAAGGCTGCCGCAAGTCGCCTGCGGCAAAATCAAAATTTGTGATTGGTCAAAGCACTCTGCCGCATGGCGTTTCCGCGTCTATGGAGTCTTAGCATAAAGCGTAACTAGCCTCGACCAATCAGACTAAAGAGTACTCCATCACTTTCATCTTGATTGGTCAAGTCCCGTCAAATCTCAAACATAATTTCAACCCTCGACGTAGACATTAGTCCGATACGGAACTTTTTGAAACTATCGAAAATTATTCTATCGTGCTATAATTGCAGCTCGCATCGACAAGTTGCGGTTGGTATACACGCTACACGCATCCAATTACGATATATTTAGTTTTCCTTCAGTCGGGTTAAGACCCGAGTTATATATAGCGCGGCGGTGAGGTCCTGTTGAGAGAGAGAGAGAGAGATAGAGAGTGAGAGTGAAATCGGTATGTAGATACGCACGCAAGGCAGGCGCAAAAAAAAAAAAGTTCATTCGTCGCGTCAGAATTCCCGTGTCGCGGCCGCGCGCGAGGCTGCGTCGACACGTCGGTCCAGTTCCAAAGAGTTCCAGACTTTCCATTCGTGTGTCCAAGGTCGAGAGTGTGCCGCGGAGCATGCCCGAGCAGCCCGAGTACCATCCGCCGGAGTCGCGCGTGTCAAGAGCGTGCGATTGAAGAAGTTTCCTCAGTGACAGTCCTCGCGTCGGACGGAGTACGGAGTTACGGAGTACGTGCGTGCCACGCGCATTATACTATTATACACACGCTACGTTCCTTTTCACGAAGCGTGCGGTTACAAAAGCGGAGCCACGCGCGGCGGCGAGGAGGCGACGATGCACCGTCGGAATAGCAATGAACTGCTGCGCAACGGGCGATAGGTGTGGCGCGTGAAAAAGGAAAGGAAAGCGCGTCGCCGAGTGCCGCGAGTGATCGTAGAGAGAGAGAGAGGAAAAAAGGAAAGAGTGGCGTAGCGCGCTCATCCATGTGCGTCCCGAGAGGATGAAGAGGCTCGACGTCGCTTCGCTTCCCGGGAAAACCTAACCTAACTCTCGCGTCTCGATTCGCGCATAGGCGATCCCGCGGGACCCCGACATTCATCGGTTTCCCCCTGGTTTCCCCACCCCCCGCGCGTGCACGTGTGTGTGTGTTCGTCAATGGTGCGTGCCGTTTCGGGAGCGTGTCGGTCCTGCGCCTATGCGTCTCCATTCGTCGCGCGCCGATTTACGTGGTAGGGGCAGTGGTGGGGGGGACAGCG